TTGTACGGTCTTCCCCTATTCGTCACCAACAGGTCGGTACAAGTTACCGGTGCATTGTCACTCTCCGAGTCTTCGGTAGCGCAGTCTCACTGCCGAGATTCGTGAGAGCGCACCCGGCCTGGACGCCGTGATGACGTCACGGTGGCTCTGGGGAGCGGCTGCCGGGCCCACTCTGTTGGGCTGAGCCGCCGGGCCGCCGCTCGGGTGCCGGCCCGGCGCCGATCACCGCCGCCGAGCCGCGCTACTGCCGTCTGGTCAGCCGTGTGGCGTGCGACGCGTCGCTACCGTCGAGAGGGGGCGGCGGGCCCGGGGGGCGGGGGAGAGACGGGACACCGCGCGACGGCAAGGTACCGCCGTGTGCGGCACGGGGGGGGGGGGCTGAGACCAGACATGAGCCGACCCACCGACCTCTTCAGTGACCTCACCCAGACCCACCGACCTCTACAGTGACCTGACCCGGACCCACCGACATCTACAGTGACCTGACCCGGACCCACCGACCTCTACAGTGACATGACCCGGACCCACCAACCTCTACAGTGACCTGACCCGGACCCACCGACCTCTACAGTGACTTGACCCGGACCCACCGACCTCTACAGTGACCTGACCCGGACCCACCGACCTCTACAGTGACATCACCCGGACCCACCGACCTCTACATTGACCTGACCCGGACCCACCGACCTCTTCTGTGACCTGACCCGGACCCACCGACCTCTACAGTGACCTGACCCGGACCCACCGACCTCTACAGTGACCTGCCCCGGACCCACCGACCTTCACAGTGACCTGACCCGGACCCAACGGCGCCGTTTGTGAACTGCGCAGTTCCCGACCAGATTGCTGTTCCGCCCCGTCCCCCCTTCCCGGACCGGCGCCGTGTCCACCACACCATCCTGCCTGCGGCTCTGGGACTCGGTGGTATGTACTAGCCCGGCTATCTGCCGTCCTTCCTGTCCGGCCGCAGCTGCAGCGGCGCGGTCACCCTTCCTGTGTGGTGGCGGCGCTTTGGAGCAGCGCTATCGGTGGAGCGGAAGGGCAGCTCACGATTCGTCACCGTCTTTGTCCGTGGCCTGACCGGCTCGGCTCGCTGGCTGGCTCCACGGTGGATTGTAGGCGCAGGTTCCAATTCTTCAAAAGACAGTGACCAACAACTACCTATAGGGTGTGAGTGTGCTCTAGCACGCTTATTGCTCCAGCGTCGCCTGATGTTCATTGTTTCACAGGAAACGTGGCCTGTACGTACTCCAGATAATGCATCAACTGACATTCAGAGTTGGACGTTGTTGCGTAAGCAGCAAAGTTGTTTTAGTAAGCACATACGCTAAAAACATCTCCCGACATAGTCAGCAATGCACACTTCCGCCGCTCCGAGCCGCCGTGCCGGTAGTGCGGCTGACCCCCCCCCCCTACACTACCCCCCCCCCCCTGACAGTGGAGAGGATCGTGAGTCAGCTCCACGACTGAGGACGGTGTTAGAGACCGGACACGGTCCACATATTCACACCCTCACCGTCTACATACAGTATACACTGATAATGTGTGTGAGGGGCGTGTCCCGATGGGCGCGGATTATGGCGCTCCGTGTGGAGTGGGGTTGTCGACCGGTCACCGACACAATCCGGGTCCGGATTCTACGGCCCATCACCGCGTCCATTTTATGGCCCATCACCACGTCCGTGATGTGATCTACTTTTAGCTCTCTGTCGTCAGCGTATTATTACCAATCACACAAAACAAAACATCCAGAGCCGACCCCCACTCCCCCCTCGGCCCGCCGGGGTGTCATGTCTGGTACTGTGACGTCACTAGTGTGTGTGTGTGACGTCACAGTAACCAGACTAGTGACGTCACTGGGTGACCGACTGACGAGTACGACGCTCGGTCAGACGCTCCCTGTCAACGACCATTCACAAACAGCGGCCCAGTGACTGCAGTCGGACACCGGTTCATACATAGTCAGACTACTCCAGATTATACAGTGTGACCAGTTTGTACAGTCTATGTCGTAACGGGTGTCACAGGGAGAGTCCACAGTCGCTAGATATGACACCTGGTGTTCCCATAAAACAGCGGCCATGCTATAAAACGAACAGCTGCCGATCAGGAGACAACGGTTGTGAAGGAAGGAATATTATTATGGGTCACCTGTTTTGCAGTGTCGTCGAATTCAATACCGTTATTAACAAAAGTCACTACTCACTTTCGCTTATCTTGTTCAGTTGGGCTGCTTTCTTCGACATAATAAGAATACGTTGCCTTTTACAGCTCACAGCGATTCTGTGACTAGATCCTTGTTACAATAGATCGCTGAGAACATGGAGTATTGATCACCAACAGGTGGTGCCTCCCCGTTACCGGTGCACCGCCAGTCTCCCGGTCTCCCCGGCCGCTCACAGTCTCTCACGGTGGAGGTTCGTGAGAGCCGACACGCCGTGACACCGCCGTGTGATGACGTCACACGGCGCGGCTCCCGGGCCCGCTCCGTTCGGGAGCCGCTCCGGGACACTGCTCGGAGCCGCTCGGCTCGGAGCCGCTCGGCTCGGCGGTGGCCCGGCGCCCATCACCGCCGAGCCGAGCCGCGCTGCCGCCGGCTGGTCAGACGCGTCGAGCACCACGCGTCGATACCGTCGAGGGGGAGAGGGGGGAGGGGAGGGGACCCCGCGTGACTGTGAGGTACCACCGTGTACGGCAGGGGGGGATGAGACTAGACATGAGTCGGACCCATCGACCTCTCCAGTGACCTGGCCCAGACCCACAGACCTTCACAGTGACCTGACCCGGACCCTCCGACCTCTAAAGTGACCTGACCCGGACCCACCGATCTCTCCAGTGACCTGACCCAGACCCACCGACCTCTCCAGTGATCTGACCCAGAGCACCCGACCTCTCAAGTGACCTGACCCGGACCCAACGGCGCCGTTTGCAAACTGCGCAGTTCCCGACCAGATTGCTGTTCCGCCCCGTCCCCCCTTCCCGGGCCGCCGCCGGGTCCACCACACCATCCTGCCTGCGGCTCTGGGACTTGGCGGTGTTAGCCCGCCTATCTGACGTCCTTCCTGGCCGGCTGCAGCTGCAGTGGCGCGGTCACCCTTCCTTTGTGGTCCTCGGCGGTTGGTAGCAGCCATGGGCGTAGGAACGGCTGGAACATTGTGGGTGCATGGGTGCAGAAATCCAGCCATGGCCGGTGAAGCGGGGGGGGGGGGGGTTGGGAGCGGCACCCGAGCGGAGGCTCATTGCGAGCTTTGAGGGTGTAGAACATGTACAGATAAGTGCATTTGGAAGCATGGATAATGTCAATATTGACTACCGCAAAAAGTAAAAGCGGCTAAGTTAGTCATTTTTGAAGATATCGGGCTAAAACTTTTGCCAGTGGGTCATCGGCATGTATTCAGTCACATGTGCTCCATTTCTTCTTTTTTAACTTGAGCACAAATGTAAGTTTTGAAGACCAGCACAGTAGGTAGCAAATGCTTCGAAAGATGGATAGTGGGCAAACTATCCTGAATTTGTCGTGCTGCATGGGAAGAAGTGTTGAAGAGAGAGGGGTTTTTGTTCCAGATTATTGTGGGTGCAGAATACATTGTCTGTACCCACTGGAAAATTATTGTGGGTGCAGCTGCACCCACTGCACCTATGGTTCCTACGCTTATGGTAGCAGCCCGCTATCGGTGGAGCCCGTCCGTCCCGGTGCTGCGTCTCTGTCATGGTGAGACGGTGACCGGCCGGCTCACGGTGTGTCCCCGTATACTGAACGGGCATCCCCATAGACAGACTGACCGGCTACAGGGACAGTCTCACGGTGCAGATGACTGTTTGTGGCATGTGGTGATCCCCCTACCTCTGAATACACCGCCGGCTGACCGGGGTCGGCTGGAGACGGCTGACCTGTCAATGTCGGCTGGAGCCGGCCCGGCTGACCTGTCAATGTCGGCTGGAGACTGACCTGTCAATGTCGGCTGGAGGCTGACCTGTCAATGTCGGCTGGAGCCGGCCCGGCTGACCTGTCAATGTCGGCTGGAGACTGACCTGTCAATGTCGACTGGAGACGGCCCGGCTGACCTGTCAATGTCGGAAATCGGAAAAGTTGCCCGGCTGACCGGACCGATAATATACTTTTGCTTTTCAAACTCCCCCACTTACTCCAGTACCTTGCAGCTTCAATTGCCTTTTGCCGTCGCTTCAAACACACTACGCATATCCCAAGGGTGTGTTCAGAAGCTGCGCTGTGCTGTCACTAGTGCGCAGGATTTGTCTTAGCGTACTAGTGAAACTTTGTGTCTGGGGAGACAGCAGTAAGGTCTAGTTTAGTGGCAAACGTCACAGAGAATCGTCTCTATGGAAATTCCGGCCGGCTCTGAGTTATCACCTTTTTGCCACGTTTTGTCCCCTGTTTCACTGGAACAGCTAATGGATATTGCTATAACCTACAATTCACGTAGCAAACTCAAAGTCAATGTGATTGAAATATTTGCGTGCATAAGAAAACCAACGAGACGAATTTCGAAGCAACAATAGAAAGGAGAATGGACACGGTAGAAGTTGTTGCGTCTCGGACGGCCTTCCTATTTGGAGAGACTCTGTGTCGGGGGCAGCGGCTGTAGAGGGGGCGACATGTGACGTCACACCTCTGTGACGTCACACACAGACACACACACGTCACAGTGACGTCACCACAGCCGTCACCAGTGGGGCACCGCGTGCCGTCACCAATCGGCGCCATCTTTGACTCAGCCATCCCCACCACCGACTCGCTCCTACTCTCGGTGTGACTCGGAGTCAGAGGGACTCGGTTGACTCACCCATCACTCGGCTGACTCCGGATGACTCCTCAGGACACGTGATGAGTCCGTTGACTCCGGGTCACTCTGACGACTCTGTTGACTCCCAATGACTCTTCAGAGCTTGTTGGCTCGTATTCGTACTCGTTCACTCGTACTCGTTCGTCACCCGAGGACCATATAAAGTTATCCTTCACATATACAAAGTGTATTCAAGATCAGTATAGGCTGCAGTGTCTGACCAGTGCAGGACACGCCGATCAGAATGGGCAGCTGGCCCTCAGCTCGGCTGCTCTCCGGTCCGTTCTCACGTCTGTAAGGCCGCCGTCGGACCCGTCGAACACACGCCGCACCGTCGGCTGACCGGCCGAGGCCTCTCTGAGCTGCTGCTGACCGCCGCGGGGCCCGTCCCCTCTCAGCCCTCGTGGTACGGACCGATCACCGGGCCGGCGGGCAGGAGACACCCGCACAGCCGGCCAGCCGTGACACATGGGCGGGCGGCGCGGCGCACCGACCGCCGGACACCGAGCGACGGCCCGCCTAGCCGGGATACGTATAAACAGCGTCTTAACCCGCTAACACAGCTCATTTTCACTCCCAGGACTCTATTGTAGACTCTGGATGACTTCGCTGACTCCGGAGGACTCCTCCACACCTATGTTCACTCCCATGACATCCGTTGACTCTGGATGACTCCCCATGACTCTGTATGACTCAGTAGACTCGTCGTGAGTCAATGTCGGTACGGGCCGGACCTGTAACAAACAACAAACACAATGGAGTCACAACAAACACACAACAAACACCATAGATGATATGTGATACAAACACTACACAGCTCAAGGAGTCGCCATAAATAGTAAACAGCATCGGCGTGACTAACAACACAGACTGGTTTATCGTCAATATATATTGCACCACGGTCCACCGTGCACTGTCCATTACTTATCACTGTACCGGTCATCTGACAATGTGTGTAGTAGACACCACCAGAAGAGGGGGACCCACCTGTGAGGTCTGGGTAGAGCAACAGGAGCAGCGGGCAGAGGAGGGGAGCACAGAGCCGCAGACAGAGCACGTCAGCGACACTAGCGCCGCCTACCGGTCTGGTCCGGAACCTGTGGTTACCGAGTACACCGCATGGAGAGGAGAATAGGACGAGAGGTTAGTGATCTCCTGAATACCACCCCCACTGGCGGATACAGTCGCCACCACGACCAAGATGATGATGTCGGAGAACCCGTGCGTCCTCTTGACACTGCAGCAGAGCCGACACCTGACCACGTCGTCATTAGAAGCGGAAACAGCGGTACAGGTGACGTCACATGTCAGGTTCCTGTAACACACTCAAATCTGGTGAATACTACAGTGCAATACTTACGTGTGGCTCTGTGTGGCTATTAGCATGACCCGCAATCCGCCACGTGGAGGCTGCCACATCGGACTGCGTCTCTGTTATCGCCCGAGACCCCTCAGGTAGTGCAGAGCCCACACACCATTTCCTGAGGGAAGACAGGGCGGCCGTACGGCCCCGAGCATCCCATCTCGGTGTGCGCTGTTCGTAGACGGACTGCCACCGGGTGACAGACAGCTACCCACCAGACGGCCGACGGACTGCCACTGGGTGACAGACGGCTACCCACCAGACGGCCGACGGACTGCCACCGGGTGACAGACGGCCACCCACCAGACGGCCGACGGACTGCCACCGGGTGACAGACGGCCACCCACCAGACGGCCGACGGCAGCCGTTTGTCGAGTACTCGACTGGCTCCGGACGGCCGGACCAGGTGACCGTGGGGGCTGAAAGTATACCCAGGAGTCAGCTGACACGGCTGTATCACCACTGAGCGGCGGTCCCTGGGCTCTGTTCACCGTTATGGAGAGAGCCGGCCTCACGGGGATCTGGCGACGCCAACAGCGGAGGGAAACGCGACATCCGGGGCTGAAAATACAAATAATGAGAAAAGTGTCATTTTTAAATGTTGTTAACCGCAGATCGCCTCGTAGCAAGCATAACTACAAACGCTGAGCAAAAATATGCAGCATACAAAAAATCGTCCCCAAACTAACCTGTCTCGGGAGGCCTCTGATCCTGTGACGGGCGAGTGTGCGGCAGCTGAAATGCCGGACTGCCGGATTGGCTCCGGCGGTCGACGGCTCAGCTGCGCCAGAGCCGCACACCCGCCTCCGTCAACCTGCCGGTGTAGTAAATGGACAAGGTATTATTCAAGCTGGTTTATGTATGATGTTTCTAGTTTCATGGCTAGTCACAATTCTTTAGAAGGAACGTAAGGTGGACTAGATAAGGCACACAACTGGAAAGGGACACGGGAAACAGGATACGGGAACGAAACAAGGGAACGGACACGAAAAGGGGACACGGAAACGGGACACGGAAACAGACATAAAAACAGGTCACGGGAACGGGACACGATAACCGGACAATTTGTAAAAAAAAATAACAATAAGCAGATTCTGCTGGTGAACTCACGCCCGCTGGTGGTGGGCTTGGTCCTGAGGCCGGCGGTGCTGGTGGTGGTGCTGCCAATGCTGGGACGGCAGCTGAAAGACCAGAGATGAATATCCAGCACCTAGCTATTGACAGTTGATTGTTTTTCAGTTACAATTTATTACCGAGCAAAAATCGCATATCGATGTAGTTCGTTATCTGTCACACAATCTACAAAGTTTTGAGTAATCTACAAAGTAGGCAGGACGTCTACGAGATATCCTATCCTTGAGATGCTATCATTGAATCAATATTGGAAATGCAGAAGAGTAAAGCTTATGCCAAACGCTCACTTGGATCTTATTTAATTTTGAACTAAAACCGTCAAACTGCGCCACAAACGACTGAACAGAGCGTCACATTCGCCTCTGACCACCAGAGCGGTGTGTTGTATTTCACCGTCTCAGCTGCGCCGCCACCGCTCACCCGTCTCAGCCGGTCGGAAACGGGAAGCTGAAATTGAGGGCCGCCATCAAAAATAAATAGAGACAATACAAAGGGCTAACCGGTAAATGATGAAAAAAAACATTCGCCTCCCATGAAGTGCAACTACAAAGGTTGAATCCCAAATATGCATCACACAAGAAGCGTCCACCAAACTAACCTGTCTGGGGAGGCCTCTGATCCTGTGACGGGCGAGTGTGCGGCAGCTGAAATGCCGGACTGCCGGATTGGCTCCGGCGGTCGACGGCTCAGCTGCGCCAGAGCCGCACACCCGCCTCCGTCAACCTGCCAGTGTAGTAAATGGACAGGTGATTGTCCCAGATGATTTATGAATGGCGTCATCTGCATCTTTCGAGTTTTACTTTGATTAGCATCATAGACTTCTGTATTACTGTTACCACTACCAACTGTTATGCTGACAACTGCATTATTGACATAGCCGTAGTCTATGTTAGCATATATAACACAAAAAGGACTTTATACATAAAAATACACGGGGACTGGACATGGGGAACGGAACACAGGTCATTGACCCAGGAAATTATGTTCATCACGATAAGCAGATTCCGCTGGTGAACTCACGCCCGCTGGTGGTGGGCTTGGTCCTGAGGCCGGCGGTGCTGGTGATGGTGCTGCCAATGCTGGCAGGGATCTGAAATATAATTGTTAAATATTGGCCGTTTTCACGACGGAACTTTCGCGGTGGAAGCTATTTGAAACCTGGAAAGTACCTACCCCTTGAGGCCTAAACTACAGCTGAAGTATTTAATCTTCAAAATATTTTTAGAAGTTGTAGGCCGGGCAGTTTTTGCCCTCAATCACTTACTTTTTACAAACAAAGCAATTTTCGGTTCTAGTATCTCGTCTTTCTACTATGAGGGAGCAAATCAGCGTTGGTACCCGCCAGCCGGCTTCTGGTTCATCGGCCCGACGCTGCGCCCCCGCCGCCGCCCTAGCAATGACATTGACCTCCGCTGTCTGCTGCGGTCCAAAGCCAAGCCATCGTGGAATTTGAAGAGCTCGGTCACCCGCAGCTGGCAGCTCAGTATATTGTCTAAACATTGTACTAGCACTATATACATTTAATAATTTTATAAACGTGCTTACGCTTTAGGTTTACGTGAGTTGTAAACCCTTAAATAAAATAAATTAATGTAATATTTAATAGAAAAGCAGCTAAGTAACGGGACACTCATTCGAAAGGTTGAAAACCTACTATAAATAATTACTAAAATTTCTGAGGTATCAAAGGACCAAACAGGTCTATAAGGTACCCGATATTCCGTCATGAAGACGGCTATTTAGCACTTGCACCATTTGTATACATGGCAACATGCAACATTGTTTTTCCTGACATGATCACTGGTCATGCACATAGGTATCGTTTACGACTATGAGACTCATGGCAATATGTCTAAGATGAAGGTAGCAATAAACTTGAACCAACCACACAAACAGCTGCTTGATAGTACGATCAAATCAATGCATTGATAACACATACACAATTTATGCCTGCCTGTCCGCTGCCCAGAAAATATCAAAACACTCACGGAGGCTGGTGGTGGTGATTCCGGAGCTGGTGGTGGTGGTGGTGCTGCTGCTGGTGGCTGGTCTGAAAGAGAAGAAATTAACATTGACCGCAAATTGATGCAACTGTTAACCCGCGCCCTGGTGGGGTCTGTTTATAACGCGACCTGGTGGGGGGGGGGCTATTTTTTGCCCCACCTCGTATCTCCGAAACTACTTGACGGATCCGCAAAATTCAAACGGCGTTCGATAGCCCTGTCAAATTTGTCGAGGGAAACCAAATTTTATTGACCTCGGGGTCACCGATGACGTCACAGGTCAGGTCAAAGATAAAATGTTTCACCGTTCACGGGGCTTCTAGGGAAAGCGCTATAACACCGAGTAAAACGCATTTTGTCGAAAATCAGCGATAAGACGTCAGTTGTCTAGTACATATGTTGCTATTAGAGGTCACTGGTCATACCAGGTCAGGTCACAGGTCAGGTCACCAAAGGTCACCAAGGGTCACCACATGATCCCAACTTTACTAAGGTTGTGCGATGCATGTTTTATGGCCAGTTTTTCATTTCCAACCCAATGGTGTTGGTTATAAGACCATCAGGTACGGTTTAGGTCACTTTCGTTTCTGGTGGAGGTCAGGTTAAGGTCAGGTCAAAAAAGGTCAAATTTCAAAGTGGATGTTTTTGCATAAAAAGGGCATCGATTCGATGCAGCTCGTCACGGGGAGTCTAATGGTGGTCTTTGTTTTGCACTACGAGGTCTAAAATTGCTAAAAAATGAGTTTGAAAATTTGACGTCATCAATTTTGAACAGTTTTTTCACTATAACTTCGCCAAAAAAAGAGGTATCAATCTAAAATTTGGTATGTGGATGGAAGGCGGTAAGGACTATCACATATATTCCGGTTTTTGCGAAATTCAAAAAACTTTTTGGATTTTTTGACTATTATATCCCAAAAATCTATTTTTTGATTTTTGGGGGTCAAAATAAAAAAATCAAAAATCTGAGATAGCAGTTTTGTAGCCCTGTCAATTCTACAGCTTTTATGTCCTAAACATTTTTCTGTATTTGAAAAGCTATAGGCCTGACAGCTCTTCCCGCGAAACCCTTTTTTGGGTCGAAAACGGCAGAACATGACGTCACTCTGACGTCATTTCCGGCCAACCTATCATAGCTTTTGGAAAAATTTTGGTCACAATGTGTAAAATTGATGTCCAGGAGGGTACTGAAAGTTTGGTGACGATCGGCGCAGCGGTTCTGGAGATATATTGAAAAGTCTGGAGGGGGGGGGGGGCAAAAAATAGCCCCCCCCCCACCAGGGCGCGGGTTAAAAATACAATGGATTCACCTCTGAACCAGAGTCTAATGGTCAGAAAAAATCATGACGGAATCAGTTATCAATATTTGAGTAAGGACAGTACTGCAGTTCTTCCATTGCATTGATTATGAAGAAGAAATTACTGACAAAATATCATGTGCAGCAGAGCAAAAAAAAAAGTTTTTCGTTTTCAGTTTCAATCAAAGATCAGCCACTCACGGAGGCTGGTGGAGGACTTGATCCCGGAGCCGTTGGTGCTGGTGGAGGACTTGGTCCCGGAGCCGGTGGTGCTGGTGGCGGTGCTGGACGCTGGTGATGGTGCTGGTGATGGTGGTGGACCTGAAATAATACAAACGTTTTAATTACTAAGTACGCAGAGACCAATTAGCGCCACATATAATACAGATATAGTAAAACTGCTAAAAACACAACAGATATTACTGAAATTGGTTTGACGTTACATAGGTAGGCTTAGGTATATTGTACCAATTTCTCCTTATATTTTAATAGAAATATTATAACAAAAAGAACAAAAAATGATAATTGTGGTTATTTGACGCAAAAACACAACCAATCATTACAAAATGAAAAGTCAGAACTGATCGTCTTATAGTTGAAAAGAAAATAATCTAAGATAAAACTTGTATTCTGTCAACATTCATTACAATTGCCAAATATTTTATTTCCTATAGACGAGAACAGCGGGCGACAGTATGGCCGCCGATATCCCGTCTGTACTCACGGAGGCTGGTGGCGGGCTTGGTGCTGAGGCCGGTGGTGCTGGTGGTGGTGCTGGTAGATGGTCTGGAAAAGAATCAGCACATGTTGAGTTTTAATTGCTCTTCATTGTAAGAAAATATAGCTTCACTTCTTTTCTTAACAGGTTTTACGATCATTAGCATTCCTGATGGAATATTTGTAACAATACAATGTATAGCCTATCGTAATAGATTTGGTGATGAAAAACAAACTAAAAATGTGCCTCGAACTTACGACCAAAATCAAATACCTCCAATTTTAAAGTCAATTTGTGATAAGACATTTACGGACGCTAGTGACGGGCTTGGTGCTGAGGCCGGTGTTACGGACGGATTCTTCCTATTGATCTGATTAATAAGAAGAAATTACCGAAAAAAATTGATATGTAACATAGCGAGAAGAATAAGTTTTACGTTTTCAGGTTTCAATAAAAAATCAGACACTCACGGAGGCTGGTGGCGGGCTTGATCCCGGAGCCGATGGTGCTGGTTGAGGTGCTGATGCTGGTGATGGTGATGCTGGGGACGGTGTTGATGGCGGACCTGAAAAAAATACAAGCGATTTATTTATTGTATTTGACATGATCACCTTATCATACAGACAGAGCGGTAGCAATGTCTACGGCAAAATGAACAAAATAGCTGTGACACTTATATGCAATACAAACAGTTTCGACACAATATAACAAAACCGTAAAATTTGTAACTGAAAACACAGGTTCATGCTGTTTTTCACACAGATAGAGGACTATTAGAAACAGCAAAGAAGAGTCGCAATTTACAGTTAAGTATATCGAATCTTAAAAAGTGTATCCAAGACAATGACGGATCAAATTATTCCATTTGTTTCGTCTGTGTATCAATTATCAACGTCAAGCGTTCCTTTGCTAGAAACTAGCCACGGGCGACAGTGTGCCAATGACATCGTGTCCGAGCTCTCAGAGACTGGTGGTGGGCTACCCTATGTATGTACTGAGACCTGCGGCGCAGCAGTCTTCAGGTGCTGTGTGCCAGAGCCATCTGTTGGCGACATAAGAAACTACTGAGTCGTACGGTACAGCATGCTTTAGGTGCTGTATGCCAGAGCCATCTGTTGGCGACATAAGAAACTACTGAGTCGTGCGGTACAGCATGCTTCAGGCGCTGTATCGCAGAGCCATCTGTTGGCTAAATATCAAACTACTGAGTCGTGCGGTAGAGCAATCTTCAGGCGCTGTATGCCAGAGCCATCTGTTGACTAACACTGAAACTACTGAGTCGTGAGGTACAGCATGCTTCAGGCGCTGTATGCCAGAGCCATCTGTTGTCGACATAAGAAACTACTAAGCCGTGCGGTACAGCATGCTTCAGGCGCTGTATCGCAGAGCCATCTGTTGGCTAAATATCAAACTACTGAGTCGTGCGGTACAGCATGCTTCAAGTGCTGTATGCCAGAGCCATCTGTTGCCGACATAAACTACTGAGTCGTGCGGTACAGCAATCTTCAGGCGCTGTATGCCAGAGCCATCTGTTGTCGACATAAGAAACTACTGAGTCGTGCGGTACAGCATGCTTCAGGCGCTGTATGCCAGAGCCAATCTGTTGCCGACATAAGAAACTACTGAGCCGTGCGGTACAGCATGCTTCAGGCGCTGTATGCCAGAGCCATCTGTTGACTAACACTGAAACTACTGAGTCGTGCGGTACAGCATGCTTCAGGCGCTGTATGCCAGAGCCAATCTGTTGCCGACATAAGAAACTACTGAGCCGTGCGGTACAGCATGCTTCAGGCGCTGTATGCCAGAGCCATCTGTTGACTAACACTGAAACTACTGAGTCGTGCGGTACAGCATGCTTCAGGCGCTGTATGCCAGAACCATCTGTTGTCGACATAAGAAACTACTGAGCCGTGCGGTACAGCATGCTTCAGGCGTTGTATGCCAGAGCCATCTGTTGGCTAAATATCAAACTACTGAGTCGTGCGGTACAGCATGCTTCAGGTGCTGTATGCCAGAGCCATCTGTTGCCGACATAAGAAACTACTGAGTCGTGCAGTACAGCAATCTTCAGGCGCTGTATGCCAG